TTAAATATGTCTTTGAATTTTATGTACTCGGTTCGGTTTATCACCCGACCCAACATATTTTTGTGCGACCCGAAAGTGGAGAAAAAATTGAGATTTGGTTCGTGACGCGGAGGGTTGGGCCGATAGGCCCAACTCGCCCCCGAGGAAATTTTTTGGGGAGCCCTATTTATACCGCGGCTACATTTTCTCATTGATACTTAGAGAGAATTTGTTTTCAAAGAGATTTGGTGAGCCGTGAGGTTTTGTTAAGTCGTCGTTTCAACTTCTGAAAACTGTACTCTCTTTGATTATAGTGGAATCTTGTCTTGCCTCGCCCGTGGACGTAGATCACCTTGTGATCGAACCACGTAAATCTCTGTGTTCTGTATTTGTTTTTCCGCGTCTGTTTTCAACACATCCTGATTTGGCTTCCTCCGGTTTATGAATCCCTGTATGGTAAACACAACATGATTAGTTGCATCGCTATCGAGCCACCAAGAACTGGATGGTGCTTCTGATAGGTTGGATTCACAAACAAGTGCCAAAGAATCATTACCTGTAGGCTCACGTTTGGACAACCAAGTTTTGAATTTTCCACAATCATTCTTTATGTGACATTTCTTCTTACAAAAAAAGCAGCAGTCACCATCCCTTTTGAAGGATATTTTCTTTGGACCCATATTGTCAGATTGACCGGTAGTGTTATGAGTACTTTTATGAGTACGATTTCTAGACTTCTTATCTTTCCTTTTGTGGGAACCAGAAACATATAAGGCTAGATGCCTTTTTCCTTCTTAAGTTTCTCTTCCTCTGCCACCACCCTTGCTATCAAGTCATTCACTGACTAAGTCTCATCTTGGGAATTGTAATTTGTCTTTATAATCCCAAAATCAGGTGGAAGGGTGTTCAGGGCTTGATGCACAATGCAAGCATCAGGAATGGAAACATTAAGAGCTTGAAGCTTCGTCTTTAGGTCTACCATCCTAAGGACATAATCTCTAACCCTAGCAGTACCATCATACTTCATATTGAAGAGCTTTTGAAGAAGTGTACCAACTTCAGCATTAGATGAAATGCGGTTTCTAGCCTCTAAGGCTGCCATCATTTCCTTAGCAGTATAGTCAGCTGGCAAACCACTTTTCAAGTGTTCTTGAATGGATTTCTTCATTGTCAATAAGCAAATCCGATTGCTCTTTTCCCAGGTAGCATAGTCCGTTTTCTCAGCTTCAGTACTGGTGGCCGTGATATCTGCTGGCTTATCCTTTGTAAGAGCAATGTGAACATCTGCCAGCTCCATTCCAAATAGAAAATCCTCTTTCCATTTCTTAAAGTTCAACCCAGTAAGGACCTCAATGGAAATGGAATTGCCGTTTACAGAAAAGGTGACTAGATAACAAACAAACAATACAATCAACATCATGTGAGTACTTATCCAGAGAGTTACATATATCATCACATAATCACCTTTGGGCAGAAAATATGACATGCAGTTGTACACTCTCCACATGACAGCGGCCATGAGAACATATTCTAATCTTTCGTGAAATCACCACCTTTGGGTGTATGAACCACTAAGATCAGTCATTTCTCAAGCACATGCTATACATGTACCCCTTCATGAGCCAATACAAGATCACCTCCTTTGGGAGTATGATCACGCAATAGAACAGGAGACATCCCACCACAATATGAGACCGATATTTCTCAAACCCAATCAAGTGTGCCACTTTGGCGGTCACTACCCAACTGAATCCTTGAAAATCTCTCATACCAGGGATATGAGCTTTATGTATCACATTCACTATATACATGTAATGCTAGACGTAAAGACATGGGCGTATATCTCTGAAATTACACGTCATGCTAATTATATTGTTCCATTCATTGATAGACAATGAATTACACTCTACACAGTCCTTATGTGGTGATATACATGTGAGCTACCATATGCATTTCCGAAACCATAGAGAAATACAAGAAAATACGCAAAAATACCCTAAAAATACGAGCATATAGGATTCTATACATATTTTCACATCTGTAAAAGCTTCAAACATGTAAAATAAATACACCACAATGTAAAGAATCTCGATACGAGCGCGTCGGTACTAAGAATGTCCCAAAAGGACGTCGGACGCGCCCTCACGCGCCGCCGGAAAACGCGACGCGTGTTTATCCGGTCAAACCGGTCTGAACAGCCGGTCCGACCGGTTGACCGGTCCAACCGGTCAAAGGTCAACGTACTGGTCCGACCGGTTGACCGGTCAGGTCAACGATCGGGTCGGGTCGAAATTCGGGTCGGATCAGGATCCGGGTTGGGTCAAAAGATTGGGTCGGGTCAGGATCCGGGTCAACCGGATCGCACCCCCTGCTGACGTCATCCGCCGGTTACCGTCGGTAACCGGCGGAAAACGCACCGGTTCGTCACGGCCGCGCGCGTGTCCGTCACGCGCCGCCGCGCCCACCATGAGTGTCGGCGCGTGAGGGCGCGTGCGGCCTCGTCCGGTGACGTGCCGCCCATCATTCTTCTCATCTCGATGAGTAGATTCCGAATATGTAATAAAATTTTACATTCATCCGACAAAAAATTTCAAAAATGGGTAAAAACCTCTCGGACATAACGAAAACGGTCATAATCCGTATGTTTAAGTTCTAATCTATGGCAGGCTCTGATACCACATGTTGGCCACGAAAATGACACGCCCAGGATCACCATAATTAGAAACCGAAACACGTTAATGAAGAAATTATCGATTCGCGTACCTGGTTTGGAATCCATCGAACTTGACGCGGAATTTGCGACGGTTTCCGTACACGAACTCAAGTGCTTCTCCCCTATACCCTTGCTAGAACACTGGCCTAATGAGATTGCCACTCACGAGAAGAAAGTTCTCTCTAGATCCGTATGTGAGTTAGATTGTGCATCATCAGGTCAGGGGAGGGATTTGAGCGATATTTATAGAGTTTTCGACCACGGGCCCTCTCATTACGGGCCGGGCCGTACTCGACCCACATTAGCCAGTCCCATATTAGACTTATTAAGAACCCACATTAGCTAGTCTCATATTAGACTTTATTAGACCAAACTAATTCAGTTAATTTCAATTAATGAAGCCCACATTAGGAAATTCTTACATACAACACATTTGCTTTTACAATTCAGGCCGTGAGATTGTATTAAGTACTATTGTGTTCTCCTATTTCATGTAATGTTGTTTCCTACTATAATCGTGCGACATATGCACCTACAGTTAGACCATGAAGCTGGAGATGAATTGGTAGCAACTTGTAGTTACTGATACCATTATTGCCAAAGATATCATTTCGGCCAATTGCTCAAATTGGATTTTCATATGAACAAAAACTATAACAGGAAATGATACTCTGAATCATAGAACTATGGTGAAAGATACAATCAACCAACATTATAAACGGTATGGTTGTGTTCTGAATTAAGCTGCAGAGCGTAAAGCACCCTACGGCATGCTGAAGGTCTTGTTCTATCCTTAAACACAAGAGACTTTTCAATGCTTCAAAAGAATCATATGATCAAATTCAATGCATTTCATTGTCTTTCATGCGAAAAATGTTATAAACCCAACATTTTGTATTCCGTAATTGCAATGGACGGGTAGTGGACCTAAAAGCTTCTTCCTTCCCACCATACAAAGGCCAAATGTTGATGGACCAAGGCATCTCTAGCGGTCTAGGAACATAGCTCGGATTCAGAAAGAAAACTTATGCAAAGAACTAGAACTGACCAATCGACCAATTTTATTCAACCAAAACCATCTTTACGTCCAATCTCACTAATCATTCTGAAATTTGGTCAGAAGCTTAATTTGATCAATATTTACAGATGAAAAGATCGCACCGAGTTCGCTGGACTAGCCAGCGGCCATTTCCCTTCTTCAGAAATCAACTCCCTCTCTTAGTTTTGGTGATATTATCCTTACTCAGATTGGGAAACTACTAGAGTATTTCCAACAGTTCAAAATTGTACATACTTTCAGAGAAGATAACTCATGTGCAGATTGGTTAGCAAATTGGGTACTTCAATCCTGTAATGTAAATGACACTCTAGCATCAGATAGGCCACCGAGAGGTTTATTTCCTTGCGCCTTTTCTTACCAACAAAAAAAAGAGAGAACACTTCAAGCAAAACAGGCAGATATGGACCTGGGTCATGTAAATCCCTGAGCAAGAGCACGCATGGCCATGCTCATACAACCAGACCAGTATGCTTAATTGTATAGAGAGAGACTCGTTTTACATCCTCAAATTTAGCACCATTAGGAAAACCAGCCTTTGCCTAGGCTGTCCAATACTCTCTCATGGACAATCATATTTCTTTCCAGTGTCTTTCTTGATCCTGTCCTAATGAAAGGAAAGCAGTTCGGAGTTTGCCAAATAAAATCATACCACAAAATCACTTATTTGTTATAGCTTGAACTTCCATCCATGTGGGGAGTACAAAGATGTGTATTCCAAAGCAAACCCAAAACTATACATGCCCAGGAAGCAAAGATACATATGTGAGGAACATCCTCCTCCATAGCAACAATCCGGACCCATGGAAATTTGGCTTCTGTCCCTAACTATGATATAAATTAGCAATGCCATTCACAACTTCGCCTCCTTTTCTAACATAATGTGTTACATATATATGGCGAACAAAGCTAGAAACCTGCAAATATTCTCAAAACTGAAAGTCCATTTACATAGAACCACCAACAAGAGCCATGACGCTGCCAAAAGCACCTATGATGCAATCAAGCGTCTGATCTCGGTATCACCCCTACAGCTACTTTAGGTCCTTTTCTTTTGTGTTTACCATAGGTCTTGGGTTAACTTTCTCTAAAACCACTAAAGAAGGTGCTTCTCATATTTCTCTTCATAAAAATCGGGGGTGCCCATATCTTGGACCTAAATAAAGCACATTCAAATCCCAAGATGCCGGACATCCTTCTTAGTTATGCATTTGAATCTGTATCCCAAAATCATCACCCGACAGAAAACAATGCTATGAAAAGGCTGAGCATCATACTACCTTTCTCTCACTCGATAGATGGCTATGGTCTGATATGGTACAGTATAATACGAGACGATGGAAAACAATGGGATGGAAAGTAGAGGGCTGCCTGCACCCCAAAGCGATGATTCACTTGTTCCCTTGTCCATAGGGACCTTGTTGCATACAACCAAAACAACTCATACCGTAAAATCGATTTTGACAGAATGAAAAAGACAGATAAGTTGTAATAAGATTCCTGCGTATCTCTCTACTGATGCAACGGCTGAACACCATATTGCTTTCATGGAAAAGAGAACAAGAACAGTTGATCGATTATTATTGAAAAATTACCAACTGCAGAAAAGGCAGAGTATATCACACATGAAACAACAGCAGCTTCAAGATCAATAAACTGCAGCCTCCCTATGGTTCACCACCAAGCTCCACCCGTAAGTTGTCATATGGATATACTTTTGGCGTCTGGAAATAGAGGAAAAGAGTTAGTGGGCGTATGAAGATGACAATCATAAACTCATCAGCAGAATGGAAGGAAGACAAGTCTCCGATCTTTGAAAAAAATCAAAGTTACCAACAATGTACAAGCAGAGGATTCATTTAGGGACCCAATGTAATTACTAAACTCCACATTGTCATCAATAATGCACAGGAAATCCCAATTAACATTATTTGGGTTCGATCAACTACTTACTACCAAACAGAGCTAAAAAAATAGGAAGGATAAATCATCTCGATGGGGGTCTCATCATAAACAAATCAAACTCGCAGGCTCTTAATCCACATTGGCATCCTATTCCATTCTCTCTGACTCTAAGGAAATTTTAATCATAACAAAGATCCCGAGTTCAACGATTTTCCAATTGAACAGGACAGGACAGCTATAAACATCCGCGTATGTATACAAACATAAGTCCCCATGCATCACATGTCACACGAGAAGCTTCCAAGTGAAACTTTCGCATCAGGTCCCTAAAGACACACCGACTTTTGATCTCCATAATCCAAATAAAGGACCACGGGAACATCTATGGTCAGTGGTCAATAAGAAAAGCCAGAAGTTCAGCTAATTAGAGCGAGCACAGAGGACAAATTTCCACCAATTTAAGATCAACATGAACACCACTTCCAGACCAAACTTAAACCCAAGTCACTGGACTTACGAATGGTATCTTCGACGCCTTATCATTCCACACAGCCAAAAGCCCCAAAGCCGCGAAGCACCCCAAACCTCCGCAAAGCCAAGCCAATGCTTCATACTGCCACATCACAATTCACCGTTGAAGCCACGCCCCACACGGTCCTTCGTCAACGAATCAATCGAAAAGAACAGCAAAAAAAAACAAAAGCCCCAACCTTTCCCACAGTATCCGCGATGCGATCGATGCAGGGCTCGGGGAACGCGGTCCCGTTGTCCCACATGAGCTCGTCGTTCACGGGCACCTGAAACAGCAAGGTCGACAATCGGGAAAATGATTTCGATAAGAATGGCGGATTAGGGTTTCCTGCGAGGGAGGCGAGATCGCTTACGGGCTTATCGGGGACGATGTGCTTGCCGACGGGGAGGCCCATGCCGGAGCGGAGGCGGAGGGAGGAGGAGACGGAGCGGGCGGCGACGCCGTGGCCGCCCATGATCCGCGAAGCTACGTGGCTCAATCGCGCGGCCATTTTCTCGCACTTTCTCGCACTTTCTCGGGTGCCAAACAGATGTGTTCCGTGTCTGCAGCACTTGTCTACAGACTGTTTCCTGAGCTTGAACTGATTTTGTGTGTGTAATTGGGCCAAGATTCGGAGCACCAGAGTTCGACCCGGCCCAATAGACAAAATAATAAAAGGGATAATGATACTTTGACTCAATGTGTAACGAGGTCCCTGAAATTTTAATTTGTTCAATGTGGTCTCTAGAATTTTGGTACATATTCAATGTAGTCCCCAAATTATATGAAAATGTTCAATGTAGTCCTTAAACTTAACTTAAAGAAAGGACTACATTAACTATTTTCATATAGTTCAAGGACTAAATATAATAAGTATCAAAAGTTCAGAGACGACATTGAACAAATTGAAAGTTTAGGAACCACATTGCACATTGGGTTAAAGTTCAGGGATCACATTGCACGTTGAATCAAAGTTCAGAGACTATTTGTATCATTTTCTCGTAATAAAATTACTAATTTGTCCTCCCTCTGAGCACACCAAAAAAGGATAAAATCGCGGTGGGACTTAGGTAAAGGTGAATTTTTCGATTCCATCGTTAACCTCGGCGTCTTGTTTTTGCTTGGACGAATCTGATAATTTTTCATGTTTAATCTATGTATTTTTATTTAGGATGGAAACCATCTGGCGGTTCTGAAAGATGCAATCTTAATTTCCTTCGCAATTAAAATTATGGACCAATTTCGACTGGACAAGTCGAACGACAAGAGGGCATAAATCGCAAGAAATGATGTAACATTATTTGGCCGAAAAGAGATTTTGTTTAGTGAGGCTCTAATTTGACTATAAAGAAGAGATCGCAGCTCCTTTACATTCTGTTTTTTTTGGTAGTATTACTGGGGAGGGGCTTAATTGCAACATAGGAGAATCATTAAGGTTTCTTTTGCAATCATAAAAAAAATTTAGGGATTAATTTAAGAAGGAAACACAATCAGGGGGTACAAAGTTCCCAATGCAGAGAAACAAAGTGTCGAAACCAAACCAATCTTACTGTTTTTCTTTCTATCGAAAGAAAATTTCGTTCATTTCTCAAGATCAAATACAGGAGGAACATAGCTTCCGAGCAAAGCAAATCTCAAAGAGCTGCAAAACAAAACAAACCCCAAACAAAAGAATATAGTCTACATGCTATAGACGATCTCCCATTCCAAAGGAATAGATTTGTCACATCATCAAAAACAATAAGCGGTCGATCACCGTAGTCGTAGATATCTTCCCCTCTAGAATCTACTGCCTGCAGTGCGCACCTAGCTTCGACACCCTCAACACCATCGCCATATGAAGACGAAAAAGTCCCCTAGATTTCGATTGAGGCAAAAATCGGGAGACGAGAGTTCCCGCCAAATCTCGAAAAAGTCATAGAACCATGCCCCGAGCATCTCGTTGGCTAGACTATGATGACGTTCTCACAAAGTTTTCAGTTGCAAGCAGATTTATTCACCACGACGAGCGAATAAAAGCAACAACAACGAGCGCAAGGAGATGCCAAACGAGGCGAAAAAAGACTCCCAAATTAGATCGGGAGAGAAAAAAATAAAAAAAATCAAAGCCTAGAAAAGAAATGCAGACTACTAACTTCAAGCTGAGAGCCTGCAGGAGAAAGTTCTTGGAGGGAAGGTTCCCAAAAGAGCGTTGTCAACAAACCAGTCTTGGTGTTGGGTTAGCAAACTACAAGAGGGAAGGGCTTCTTCCTCAAATGCCCAAATCCAATTGGCTCTGCACCTCCAAGATGGTCGTCGCCGACTCCCTCAGCCGCCGCGCCTCCTCCTCGGTCATGTGCACGTTGGTCACGCCCAGGACGCCGCCGCGGCCGAGCTGGGCCGGCAAGCTCAGGAACACGTCGCCGCCCTCGATGCCGAAGAAACCCCTGGCCAGCACCGAGACCGGGTGGATCCTCCGCTGGTCCCGGAGCAGGGTCCGGGCCAAGCTCGCGACCGAGTACCCAATCGCCCACGAGGTGTAGCCCTTGAGGCTAATGACTTCGTAGGCGCAGTCTATGACCGCCTTGTGGATGTTCTCGAGGGTCTCCTTTTCGTACGGGATCTGCTGCTTCTCTAGGAAGCTCAGGACCGGGACCCCGCCGACGCTTATGCTCGACCACAAGGCGACCGAGCTGTCGCCGTGTTCGCCCACGATGTAGGCCTAGAAACAAAGACCGAATACGCAAGTGAAAACAAAGGACAATGTAATACGGTAGTAACATGAGAATTGATGTACAAAATTGGCATCGCGAGGAGCAACTGCTCAAAACTCCAATGCCTATAACGATTCTTGCAATGACAAAGCAAAACCATTTCTAGGAATATATTATCATATTATATTGTGCGATTGCAACGAATCAAAAAGGAAAAATATATTATTATGAGATTGGTGTCAACTTGCTTTGGAAGAGTATGAGAGGGGAAACCGTTGCAGCTTTTCAAGACTCGATCTTGTCGACCTCATAAAACTTAGTTTTAAGACAAAATGATTTCTTGTTAAAGAATGGCAATTTATAACGCGGTTTATTAAAAAAAATTAGATAATAAATAACTCCCGTTATTTTAATATTACAAAAAAATGTGGACATTCATCTCGAACTTGCAATAAAATATTTAAACCGTCATTCACTCTTGCGATGTGAATGAAACCTTGATTTAGGTTCGATTCCTTTATTGATTGTAGATTAGGTCGGATCTAGTTTCGTTAGGTGAGTTTTGGTGTAACTTTGGGCTTCGCCTTTTTCAATACCAAACAAACATAGAGAGATTAAATTGCAGTTCAGTTAAAACACGGATCATTTAGATTTTATTTATTCATACTCTTTACCTTCGGGATATACTAATTTCTCATACAACTTTCATTAAAATTATTGCATTTTTTCTATCACATGTTAATCTCAAGCTTTCTTTGACCAAAAAAAAAAAATCCCAAGCTTTCATAAATAGGACAATTACTCTACAAAATCTCTTCTTTTTTTTCTTTTTTTTTCATCACATCTCGTATTAATAGATAAAAAAAAATTTAAAAGTAAGGAAATAATATTAATATATCAGCGTGAAATGCAGGCTAAGTAGGTAAATAAAATAATGAACACTAAGACCGTAAGAAAGTCAAGTAAAGCAAAGACAAAAGCAAAAAGCAAAAAGGCAATTGCAGAATAATCAAAGTAAAGCTGTGCGTACGGTACCTGCACGTCCTGGGCATTGACGTCGAGGTGATCGGCGATGAGGAACCTGAACCGGGACGAGTCCAGGTTCGTGCCCGACCCGACGACCCGGTTCGAAGGGAACCCGGACAGCTTCCACGCCACGTACGTCAGGACGTCCACCGGGTTCGACACGATCAGCAGGATCGAGTCCGGCGCGTGCCTCGCGAGCGCCGGCACGATGGCCCGGAACAGGGCCACGTTCCGCTGCAGCAGGTTCAGCCGGGACTCCCCGGCGATCTGCCGCGCCCCGGCGGTGACGATGCAGAGGTCGGACCCGGCGGCGACGGCGTAGTCGACGGAGGCCGAGATCCTGGTGCGGGGGAGGAAGGCGGCGGCGTGCTGGAGGTCGAGCATCTCGCCGCGGAGCTTGTCGGGCTTGGCGTCGATGAGGGCGAGCTCGTCGGCGAGGTCCTGGGTGAGGATGGTCTGGGCGATGGCCATGCCGACGTTGCCGACCCCGACGACGGCGATCTTGGTGTGGCGCTTGGTGGGGGACGGCGGCGCGGTGTTCTGGATCGGCCTGAAGAAGGCCCCGCTCAGGTCCAGGCCGCCGGGGCCGAGGGAGGAGGCCGACGGAGCTCTGTGCATTTTCTTTGCAGAACGAAAAACTCAGAAAGAGAGACAGAGGCTCTGCCTCGTCGCCGGAGTTTGGTGGGGCGAGTTTGATTTTTAGGGTTGCGCTAAAGAATGGTCAACAGGTCAAAAAAGCCTTCTTTTTATATAGCAAGGAAGACGTGGGAAAAGGAGACTAATTTGCCCATGAAATGAATGGAAAATATTTTAATTCCACTATAACAAAAAAAAAAAACCCTCATTTTCAAATTGCATCATTCCCATTGCAATTTACCTCCTCAATCACGCCATCTATTTTCTTTGAATTTTGGCTCTCGGCATCTAGAAATCTTTCTTTCTGCTCTCAGTTACGAATAGACCCGTCAAACAGGTGGATCGAGGTAGATTTGGGTCGGGTCAAAAATGATCCGACTCATATTTACCCATTTAACCCATATTGATCCATTTAACTAACTTTGACCCATTTTCATATAGTGTTATTCTTATGACCCAAATCCAACCCATACTCGACCCACGTTATTTTCCTCCCTCTATTTCTATATTCTAATTCATCTTCTTCTCACTCGCTGTGTAGTCAGGCAAGCATACATTGAGCTCCACATAGTCAGGCTTGCTCATCTCGCAACTCACCTGAGTAATGAGTGATAGACTCAATTAGCATGGAAATCACACATAATTGCAATGAGTCATCTCGATGTTATATCCAAGTCGCGTTGACCCATCGCGTCGAAAATTGTCTCATCTAATTTCGAAACGTGAATAGATAATTATGAGAGTATTTGCCACATTCTGACACACTCTTCGTTTTTCTTTTCTAATCAATAATTTCGGCTTTTGATATTCTATTCATATATCTCCTATTCACATATTCTGACCCAATTGATTCCACATTTATATGTTCATCGTCGAATACGTCGAGTGTTGTCGAATTGGCTCATTTAGTCGATGGCATGATCCATGCAATCTTTAATCCTTTTCTATATGTTAAAAATTATAACCGACAATTATTTACGATCAAATTTGCTCATACACTTGACTTCATAAATTGGAAGAGCTCGAAGTAATTTTTATACAAACCGATAACTTCAGCCACTTATAAGTAAATGTTCATCAAAGTTGTCATTTAAAATTTCACAAATTGTCTTCCTTCCTTAATTTTAGTTTTAGTATGGGTAGATCAGACATTTCATGCGGTTCTATTGATTCTCAGCCCACGTTTTGCAACAGTTGCCTCCCAAACACTACGATTTCAGCATCAATCTCAACGAATCTGGTTCGAGGATTACAACAAAAAAGGTCTAATTTTTATTCTCTTTTTATTGCTCATCATGCATATTCGCGAAAGTGATAGCACAGACTCTCATACCATGTTTTGCAGCAGTTGCCTCCCAAACACTGCGATTTCAGCATCAATCTCGACGAATCTTGTTCGAGGATTACAACAAAAAGATATGATTTTTATTCTCTCTTTATTGTTGATCAAGCACGTTCACAAAAGGGATAACACCGACTCCGATACTAATATCATGTTAGGAAAGCTAAAACCCAAAGGAAGACCACGTGAATATAAAGAGCATTTAGGCGGTGTCAAGCGATGTGAGACAATGCTTCAAACAATCCTCCTCTATCCAATTGACATGGAAAAGCTGCATCTCTACGGATGGAACTAGGAATCAATCGTTGGGTTCTCAAGACAAATCATGGAATAAGCAGAGAACCGAGTCGTTCCGGAGCCAATTGGGCGGTATCAATGTTGTTGCTTCTACTTTTCCAGAAAAGAAGAAAGACAGACAAGTTGGCTGTATGGACATAAGAAGGAAATCCATTCATATATTACAGGAGTGCATGGAAACCTTCCATCACGGCCTCGAGGACTCTCGGAAGGTTCTCGTTCTCGACCGACAGTTTCTCAGGATCTCACCTTTTAGCAGAGATATTAGAACCAGACCGAACAACGCAACCGGACCCAAGTACATTTAGATGTCTTATAACAGGAAAACAACCATAGGAATAGTCGAAGTCCATTGTTTTTCTTTATCATACAGAGTGCTAGTTTTGCTTTCTGACCAACCAGAAACTGCTGGTTTGGAGACTCACCAACTAGCAACCTGAGGCCCCTCGTAGTCGAACGCCCTCCCTAGTAGCTCGGTTACGGACGAAGGACTTCACGAACACCCGAGCTAGCCTGCCATTGACATGAAAAGGGCCACCTGACTCCAACAAGTTACGTGGTGCCCGGCTCTATTTACAGTTTCTTCGTCCCACTCGAAAACCGGAGATGGATCAGGCCGCCTCCTCGCACCTGTCCCCTGAAAAATATGAAAAGAAAAAGGAGAATGAATCGATCAGGCTCGCATCAGTTGTCAATGATCATGCAGGATTCGATCGAGACCCTGGTGGTTTCTTGTCCCAAGACTCGTTATCATATGAACCGATTTACTAAATCCAAATCCATTGTGGAACAGTCAAGCAATGCTAGGGATGCAAAGATACAAGCGTATGGCGACTTAAAAAGGTACTTTACTTGGTGCAGGGCTCTGTATTCTATCCTCATGGATGCCGGTTTTAAGAAACTTGTCTCTGATTGAGAGCAAGTCCAGTGCAACTCTATTTATGTCCTTCCTGTCTTTCGGTGATTCTGCTGAGCAAATTAATCCGATCTCAAAAACCGATATCAGACATTTGGCTTGGTCGATTCCGCAGTCGCTCCAATTCCCTTCGTTGTCCCAGCTTTCGCCTACTTCCCCACAGAAAATCGACTGATCCAAAATCCCTGTTGCTCGCTTTGACAACACTGACTTGACAAATTTCTGAAGGTTAAAATCCTCTTTAAATATATCGTCCGTCGGTCGTCTTCCAGTGAACATCTCTAACAAGAGAATCCCGAAACTGTACACATCCCCACTTGTTGATGGACGAACGCCCATTCCATATTCTGCCAGTCCAGAAAAAAGTTACTGTTAGCTCGATTACTCTACAAGGTCATTGAAATCTTTTGATTTTGTGGATGTAAATGTATTTGTGATCTTTAGAGCAGTACCTGGAGCGATGTAACCCATGGTTCCCTTAAAAGCAGAGGAGCTGAGATGACTCGAAACGATGTCTTTGTTAGACTCAAAAATGAGCCTCGACAATCCAAAATCACTGATATGAGCTGTGAAATCATCGTCGAGAAGAATGTTGCTCGGCTTCAGATCACAGTGGATGATTGGAGTTCGGCACTGGTGGTGAAGATAATCCAAAGCAGAGGCCACATCGATGGCGATGTTCAATCTTTGCAGGAAGCTCAAAGGTTTGAATTGCATGTGCTTGTCGTTTGGGTGCAACCACGTGTCCAAGTTGCCGTTTACCATGAACTCGTATACCAAGGCTTTGAACTCATTACGATGGGAGTCGATGCTCGAACAAGCAGTCAAGATCTTAACAAGGTTACGATGCCGAATGCCGCTGAGTGCTTTGCATTCGGCCAAGAAGCCCTTGAAAGCTCCTTTCTGCTGGAGATTCAAAACCTTGATGGCCACGATTTTTCCGTCAAGGCCAAGAGTTCCTCTGTACACATTGCCAAAACTACCTGAACAAAGAGTTAGAAACTATTGTGGTCATGCGACGTGGTACTACTGTATGAACTACGAAGTGTGTTCTGTGCTCATTTGTTGCAGTTAAATGTTCATTTACATATAAAGATTACCTGAACCAATCAATTTGCTTGAACAGAATCCGTCGGTAGCTTTGAATAGAGCATCATAAGAAATACTCTCGTGAAAATGGCCCAAGGAGCGAGTAGGCAGATGTTCCTTCTTCGAGTTTCTCAACCGGAAAAGAGACGCTAAGAACAGTAATGCCACCGCACAAGAAGCACAAATGATTATTACCATCAATCTCTTCACAGATCTATGCTTTACCGATCTCGGGAACGATTTCGCCGGACATGAAGGCAAATGCAATTCAGGTATGCCCCCGCACAGCTCGTCATTGCCATCAACTTTGAAGGCGCTAGTGTTTCCAAATATCCCACGTACAGGTACTTCGCCTTCGAGATTGTTGAAAGACAGATTCAATAATTGCAGCGACGATGACAAGTTAACTAAAAACTCTGGGATTTGCCCTGAGAGGTTGTTATTGGAAAGGTCGAGAAAACGGATGCCTTTTAACCCCGTGAACTGAGGAATGGGTCCTCGAAAATGGTTCGCCTGCATATACAGCTCTTCGAATCCCAAACAGTTGCCCAAAGTTGTAGGAATCTCGCCGGAAATTTGATTGTACGAAACGTCAAGAGAAATGATGTTCTTTAAGTTTCCAACATCGGGTGTCATGGGCCCAGACAAAGAGTTGTGAGATACATTCAGATTTATTATGAGGGACGACGGTCTGATCATGTGGCTGGAAATGGTCCCTGTGAATTTGTTATGACAAAGGCGTAGATCTTGCAGGGCCTTGCAGTTGCCGAGGCTTGAAGGTATGATTCCTTCTAAGCTGTTGTTGTACAAGTACAGAAATATCAGACCGGTGATGTTACCAATGGTCGAAGGTATGTGTCCAGTCAACTTGTTTTGGCCCAAACTCAGATATTGCAAGTTTGATAGCCTCCCAATAGACATTGGAATGTTGCCTGTTAGCATGTTATCGTCCATGGATAATAGTTGTAGACTAAAGAGGTTTGCAATTACTTCAGGAATTCTCCCACGAATTCTGTTTCCCGACATTTGTAGCTGCTGCAGTTGCGTTGAGAAGTTACTGACCGAAACTGGCAGCTCGCCTTCGAACTGGTTATATTGTAAATCCAGCATTTCAAGGTTGCTGCAGTTGGCCAAATCAGCAAGGAAACTTAGACCGCCGGTTGAGCCACTTCCGAGAAAATTATACTCAAGGTTGAGCCAGCTCAAGTTTTGAAGCCCTCCGAAGCTGGCCGGGACACGTCCACTGAAGTTATTGCTGGGCATATCAATTGCTGCTATGTTCGTGGCGTTGGAGAGTGAATCGGGAATGAGACCGTTGAACTGATTACCTGCCAGATAGAGAATTTGCAGATTCGGAAGCAGAAGGCCTATGTCTCTCCTGATACTACCATAGAACAGGTTATAGGTCAAAATTATGGTATCGAGGGAT